AATTGGGATGGGCTATGGTTCATTGCCCCTGCCCAGAATTCAGTGAGCTCAGTTCTGGTGGGGAAGACTCAGGCACAAGTGGGGTGGGGCAACTGTTTTTTTGGCTTCCTGATGTGCATGCTAAGGGGAGAAGTCCGCAGGCCAAAAGATGACCTTCACATTTATAGTCCTTTTTAAAAAAAATCAACATTTTTGAGGTATTTTTGTATTTAAATTTAATCCACTTCAACTGTGCAGTATGATGCCAAATATGAGCACTTGTTTGCTGGATACAGAACCTCTGTACCATCAGAAAACCTTTTAGTGTGATACCAGATCATGATGCAAATGATCATGATGCACACTGTTGGGTGTGCAGTTCCATCCAGTGCAGGAGCCACCCTGTCAGCATGGGCCCTTGTCTGTGTACTAGGCTGACTCTGGAGGGTTGAGTTGGGGCATGTGGGCTAGGGTGGAGAAGAGGAGAATTTCGTCTGTGCTGTTGTCCGCAGCCATTTGAAAATCACTTGGAGTTTTATTCCAAGCACAAAAGAATGTTAGAGAGAGGAGACCTGCCCAATGATCATGATCATGGCCATTCCCGCCTTCTCTGCAGGACCTGGACTGAGAGTCCTGTAGCTTTTATATTCTCTGGGCCTTGGCCCTAACCTCCCTGACCTCAGGCCTGGGCTTCAGTGGGTGCAAATTCCTTTCATTGTCAACCCTTGAAGTTTAACAGTGTTGTTTTCCCAGCTTGTTTTGGAGGAGGGTAAGAGGTCTGTGGCACTTTTACTAGAGAGGCCAGAGTTCTTTCTCTAAGAATTGTTCTGTTATTACAACTCGGTCACATTAACACTGTCTGGCAGTTGCTGCCTGAGCTGAACCTTCTACCAGGGGAGAAATTGGAAATCAGTTAGAAACACCTGCCCACAGAGACCATCAGTACAACCCGCTGATGCTAATTATTTTACCATTTTTATTGTTATTCAAAGCGAATTTTATCACAGAGTGAAAGTTATGATTTTTCCCATCTATGATTTTTTTTTTTTTGGATTTGAAAGTGCTGTTGTTCCCCAGGGCAAGAAAATCGAATCAGTATAGCCTGGAGGAACCCCCTCAATCCAAGGTTTTTATTCTTGGATGACTTTGTCCTGTGTTTCTGGACACTTTTTAGTGTGTTCTGAATGTTAAAAGAAAGATGAAGCTGGGTATAGTGGCTCATACCTGTAATCCCAGCAATTCTGGAGACAAGAGGATTGCAAGTTCAAGGCCTACTTCAGTAATTTAGTGAGGCCCTAAGCAACTTAGACCTGTCTCAAAATATAAAGGGCTGAGGATGTGATTCAGTGATTAAGTGCCCTTGGGTTCAATCTCCACCCACTACCCCCAAAAAACGGGAGCCACAGCAGAAGAAGAAAGATATATTTTAAAATTTTTTTGTTTTTTAGTTATAGATGGACAAAATACTTAATACTTAATTTTATTTATATATTTTTATGTAGTGCCAATGACCAAACCTACTGCCTCACATATGCTAGGCAAATGCTGTACCACTGAGCTACAAACCCAACCCAAGAAAGATACATTTTAAGAGTTAAGGGAAGTCTGGATTGTGTTCCTCTCCAGAAGCTGCTTGGTTTAAGGATCACGCTTTGCCTGTACTCTTTTTTTGTTTGATTTTTGGTTTTTGCAGTACAGGAGATTGAACCAAAGGGTGCTTTATCATTGAGCTACATCCCCAGACCTTTTTATTTTTTATTTAGAGACAGAATCTCACTAAGTTTTCCAGGCTCACCTTGAACTTGCAATCCACCTGTCCTAACCTTCTGAGTAGCTGTAATTACAGGCGTGTACCACTGTGCCTTGCATAGACCTTTTTATTTTATTCTGAAACAGTGTCTTGCTTAGTTTCCCAGGCAGGCCTCAAACTTGGGATCCTTCTGCCTTGGCCTCGTGGGTAGCTGGGATTATAGGTGTATGCCACCATTCCCAGCTTCCTCCCTCCACTCTCTATTTTTTTAAAAAATATTTTTTAATTGTAGATGGACACAATACCTTTATTTTGTTTGTTTATTTCTTTTTATGTGGTGCCAAGGATCCAACCGAGTGCCTCACACATGCTAGGCAAGCGTTCTATCACTGAGCTGCAACCCCAGCCCCTCCCTTCACTTTTTTATTTTTTATTTTTTTGAATTATACATGGACACACTATCTTTATTTTGTTTATTTACTTTTATGTGGTGCTGAGGATTGAACCCAGTGCCCCACATGTGTGAGGCAAGCGCTCTGCCACTGCACCACAACCCCAGCCTCTCTCCCTTTACTCTCCAGGGGCCATGAGTGTCAGGATTAGACTGAATAGGGGTGCTAGTGCTAGAGCAAGTTTGGGGTAAAGAATTTTGATTTGGGTTTTGTGTAGCAGGAGCAGTTTTCTCTTAGTTCTGCTGGGAAAGGATGAGATATGGTTGGGTTGACTCTTGTCTAGTTTGATGCTGTATTAGAGGAGTTTTTCCCTTCAGGCCAGGCCTCCAAGTCCTGGAGACCAGGGAGAATTTCAGGGGAAAGCCATGTGTTTGAGAATGGATGACTAAGGTATGTGGTCCCTGGTTACCTCTGCTTCTAAAATAAGAATTGACAGCCAAGGTGTGCTGTCCTTAATCATGTCGTTTTCAGAACAAAGATGGACACCAAGGTGTGTGGTCTCTAGTTATCTCTATCTTCAGGAGGATGGACAGCCAAGGTGTGCTATCCTTAATCACTACAGCTTCCAGATTGTAGGGAACTCCCTTGAGTCTGATGGAAAACCTCAATGAAATTGAAAGTATCTGGAGACATCAAGTATATACATAGCCACCTTCTAGATCCCTTGTCCTTGCACAGAACCTGTTAGGGGATAAGTGGGAGGCATGCAGACCTTTCCTAGCATGTCAATGCTTGAGGGGTCCTCTGTTTCCTCTCACAAAATAGTTTTTTTCCCTGGTAAAAATACTGCCATGGAAGGTACCAGAAGACAACCTCAGATTGTTCTTCTTCTGTGAACTGGCACACTGAAATTTAACCAGAAAGATTAATGATTGTTAAAACATCTAAAAATTGTCACTGAGATATAATTCACATAGCATAAATGTCACTATTTAAAAAGTATACAGTTCAGTGGTTGTGTAATCATATCCCCCCAGTAGTTTAACTTTTTTTTAAAAAAGAATTTCATCTTAATTCAAAAGGAATATATTCTTTTTTTAAAAATTTTTATTGTTGGTTGTTCAAAACATTACATAGTTCTTGATATATCATATTTCACACTTTGATTCAAGTGGGTTATGAACTCCCATTTTTACCCCGTATACAGATTGCAGAATCACATCAGTTACACATCCATTGAGGAATATATTCTTATTGTAGAACATTTTAAAATTGAAACACAAAACTCCTTCACAGAGTTTTTAGTGAGAGGCCAGAATGCCCTGTCTAAGGCTGAAGATGGAGCTGCACATGGTGTTAGGGAGCTTTCTAGTTTGTGGCTGGCTGCAGCATATAGTGTGCTCTCTATAGTGGGGTCCTGAGTCAGGTATGTCTGTGTCTTGGTGTTATAAAAATTCCATGTCTGAAAAAAGCCAGAAGAACTTAGGGACCAGTGTCACTGTATTTTTTTTTAGCCATCTCTACCCATTCTGTCTCCAGACACAAACAGACCCATTTGATATCTACCCAAGCCCCAGACAGGAACATATGTGGGTATCTTGGCAGGGCTTCCTAGAAGGCGAACACAAAAGTCTAATGAAATTTCTCCTGAATTTTTCAATTCAGTCCAATCAGAGTTTTTTGATGAAAGAATCTTAGAAACTGAAATTTTTTTCATCTTTCGAATTTTTCAGTTTTGGGGTATTTTTGTTTTTGTTGTTTTGTTTTTTTGCAATGTAATGGAATTTTATCAGTATCTCTGATCTCTAAAATATTAAAATTCATCTTTGAATAAACTATTATAATTCATAGTATCTATGCAATTTATAGATCAAATAATTTAAACATGAAATAACCAAACATAATTGGAATTCAAGGAAAGTAGTCAGTTTTTAGTAGAACAGAGGAAATTGAAGTGCTGGTAGTAACACCTGGCTTTCCTAAAGTACTTGCTACCTACTAGACTTTGCTAATGATTTTAGCTATTCTGTTTAGTCTATACAAGCACACCTGTGGAGAATATATATTTCTGTCCTCATGGATGAGAGAACTAAGCACAGCATGTTAAGTAACTTGTCAAGGTCACAGAGCTCTCAATTTTAATTTTAATCTCTGACCCCCACATAGGAATGAGATTATTTCTCTGAGGAACTGCCTTTTGTAAAGGATCAGATTCTGGTTTGTATTTAGACAGTGAGAGGGTGTGATCAGGGGGCCCTGGACCCCAAAGGCTATGCTGAGCCTCTGGGATCTTCCCCCCAGCCCCCAGAGTTGTAGGTGGACACAATATCTTTATTTTATTTTTATGTGTTGCTGAGGATGGACCCTATTGCCTTAAGTGTGCCAGGCAAGTGCTCTACCACTGAGCCACAGCCCTAACCCCAAGCCTCTAGGATCTTCAAGGAGGTGCTCAATCCCATTGGTGCTACCCAAGTGCTTCTGGCAGTTTGTGCACATCTGGCATACCTAAAGAAGAACTGGCAGGGTTTGCAGAGCTACAGACAAATGGGGCAGGGGCAGGAAGCATGTACCTTCTTCCTGAGCACTTCTGTCTCCAGGTCTCAGTACCTGGCCACAAGGCCTGCATGTACCATGAAGGAGAGCCATATGGTTTGGAGCCTTTGTGTTGATAGAAGGAGCACTCTGAGGGCAAAGTGAAGGATTGAAAGTTGGGATCCAAACTCAGAACCCACCATTTGGTGGCAGACAGGGACCTAAGCTGTCCAGAGTAGGAGGAGATGGGTCTGGCCAGCTTGTAGTATATGTAACTAATTTTGGAGAGCAGCTCTCTGGCCACTTAGGGGAGCAGCAAGATAACCCTGTACCTTTTTTGTCTTTAGTCATGGGATATTTTTTTCCGCAACACCAATGCTGGAGCTCCCCCGGGCACTGCCTACCAAAGCCCCCTTTCCCTGAGCCGAGGCTCCCTGGCTACCGTGGCCCACGCACAATCCCTGGTGGATGCACAACCCAACGTCGACAAGCTTGTAGAGGACCACCTGGCGGTACAATCTCTCATCAGGGCATATCAGGTGAGCAGGAGCTGACCATCCATGTGGAAAAGGATGCAGTGTTTCTTGGGCCTTTCTGAGTGTTTATAGTCATTTTCTTTTACCTCCTCCAGGTTCTAGGTGCTTGCTTCCTGCCTTTGGGTCTTAGGGAGGCAAAAGTCAAGTATACGAAAGAATGGGAACCAGGCTAACCAAAGTTAAGCAGATCCTCTGCTGTCTTTAATAACTGCCTCATAATAGCTCTTTATTTCTTTTCATAAATTGGCATGACAGATTTTTGGGCAGAGAAACTGGGATCTCCCCCCATCCCCCCAGTGTTGTAGGTGGACACAATACCTTTATTTTATTTTTATGTGGTGCTGAGGATGGACTCCATTGCCTCAAGTATGCCAGGCAAGTGCTCTACCACTGAGCCACAGCCCTAACCCCAAGCCTGGCCATTGAGAAGAAGTGCTACTCACCCGGCAGGAGGCATTGGCTGGGAAGGGTGATGCTGTTGAGTCGGTTGATGCCCGCTCTCAGTTGTTAACAACTGAATACTATAAGAAATCTATAGTGCTTGGAGACACAGAAGCAGGGAGGAGAAGGGGTAAGGGCAGCTGAGCCCTTAACAGGCTTGTTGAGCAGAACTAAGCTTTTCCTTTCATTTTTTCTCTGAAAAGAATCTTGCAGCATCCACCTCATGTCAGCGAAAGCCCTTAAAATTTGATCTATGAATAGTTTTAAGAAGAGAAAAGTACCTCTTGAGAGCTTCCATCGGATCCCAGGCTTCACTGTCTCTTATGTGGCTGCAGCATTAACAACCAGAGAAATTATGCCCTGAACTCTCCTTTCTGCCCATGTCTCTCTTTCCTGGAGATGATGATTCAGATATATCCTGCAGACAGTCTAAGGTGTATATATGTAATAAGGCAGAATTGGGAGGACCCTAGGTCCTCGGGTCCTTCAGGCCATGATCTTATAGAAGAGTTCTCTGCCTGGAGTGTTACATGTGCTGCCTGTAAGGAGATGGGCAGGATGCTGTAAGTGACATAGCCTCAACCTCTAAGGCACTGTTCACAGCACACCTGTCCAGAGGTAAGAGGAGGCACAGCTAGTCCTTCTTGACTATTGTCTTCATGTAGTTGGCCTCAGTAACATCTTTACTATGATCTTGTAGTGACTTCTCAGAATCTGCTTCCCTCTCAAATTGCTAGCAAGAAATTTATGAGTAAAATATCCAAAACTGAAAGAAATTTAAAATTGGAATTCTCTATTTTTTCTCCCTTTTTCTGTAGTATTGGGGTTTGAACCTAGAGGCTCACACACTAGGCAAATGCTCTACTTGCTACATCCTGAGCCCCTCCTTTGTTTTTTTGAACAGTTCAGAATAAATGCTTTAAGTCCATGTTGTTGTGGGCTTTTTTGTTCTGACTACCATGTGTGTGCTGACCTGTATGCAGCATCAGGGCCAGCATCCTCACTCCCTATGTAGATATAATAAAGGCAAATCTCTTAGTAAGATGCCTCATCTGTACCCTTCCTCAGCTTTATCCAACACCCAAGCCTTTATTTCCTCCTTAGGGAAATCTTTATATTCTACCAAAAGGAAGCTTTCACACTGGGCTAACAGTTTCCCAGCATATATAATTTTTATTGAAACCATAAGCTCCCACAAAATAGATCTTTTCAGACTATTCAAATTTATCATAACCTGAGAATCTTATATTTCCCACCTTTTTTTTAATAAAAGTAATTTTATGCACAATAGTGCTTTTAAAATAAGCTGTTCCAAGATTGACTTCTTAAAATTAATTTTGTTGTATGGGTTTATTAGTGCTGTGTTCCCCTCTGGGAAAGATTTGCATGAAGTATAACTCTTTTACCCCTCCTCACAGCTTACTGGATCTGCTTAATGACTTGCTTGTGTTATTATTCCAGGTCAGGGGTCACCACATTGCAAAACTTGATCCTCTCGGAATTAGTTGTGTAAATTTTGATGATGCTCCAGTAACTGTTTCTTCAAACGTGGGTGAGAATTAATATGTAAATGCTAATTTTAATGTAATTTTACTTTTTTTTACCCCTTCCCTCTTTTTTTTCTCCTGTCCTTTTGTGTGTGTCCTTCCCTCTCATCGTTGGCCCACTCATAGATACGAGGGCACCATGTAGCACAGCTGGACCCCCTGGGGATTTTGGATGCTGATCTGGACTCCTCCGTGCCCGCTGACATTATCTCATCCACAGACAAACTTGGTGAGGGTCTGAGAGCAGTCAGCTGCGTTGCTTGAGCTCCTCTCGCTGTGCCACAGCCTGTGGCAGCCAGGATGTCCAGGCAGGAGGGAAAGGCTCTTAAGTTTCCTTCGTTCTGATCACTTGAAATTTATTGGTAATACAGCCTTAGTGTATTTTGGGCATGTTATTTTTATCCCATTTTTTTCAGCCAGATTGTCCAAGTCTCAATCTTGGCCCACCTGGGCAGGTGAATTGGAAGCTGCTTAGAGAACAGCTCTTTTGGCTCCACCTTTCCATATCCCTGTGCAGTGCTGTCTTCCACAAGGCCACTGGTGAGCCTTGCAAGGGAGCGACTATCACAACTGTCCTGTTCTGATGCATGGTGGGGCCCACCTGTGGCCAGAGGCCACTTGCGTCCCATAGAGTGAATTTTAGAGCAAGGTGTGTAGTTGGGGTCTCCCAATTCTTAAATGCTGGTGATCACACCAAGGAAACTTTGGAAGGCATTCCCACAGCGTCCGGAGGCCAGGGCCTTTGGGAGGTGCATGTGTGGAGCACAGATGGGTTTTTGTCACAGTACCAGGTGTACCCTCCTGCACTCTGTCCTCCTTGAGAGGTGAATGGGTGTTGTGGCTGGGCACTCACCTGCAGTTGCTTCCAGAGTTAATCTGCTTTACATCATTGTGCTGCTAACCTGTACTAAAGAAATGATGATATGACTAATTGTGAAATGGCCAGGGTGTTCACAACAGGCACTGTGCATGCTAATGAAATTGATGATCACCTATTGCTAATACTGCTTTTGGGGAGGGAATGGAATTAGTCTTCTTGCAGACATTTGTAGAAGGGTTGCAGAGAAATGGTCCCTAAGGCCAATTGCCCAGTTCCCCTACAGGCATTATCAAGTTGTGCCTGGCATTAATCAGGTAAAGTTATATGTCAGATATTGTTGATTCTGGAATTGATGTTAGCAGTTTGTAATTGCTCTTAAAAAACCTTCCTAGATAATGTAGGGTATCCTCTACATTGTACCAGCCCTTTGGCAAATTTAGGAAGTATGTAAGAAAAACAAGCCATCTTCCCCCTGCTCTGACACCAAAACAAAAACACAGGAGACTTCTGTGATTCCAAGTGGTGTGGGCATTTCTTCCATCCACAAGCAAGCAGTTGCTTCTTTAGTGCTGGTTACCAGGTGGGTGTCCTCTCATTTAATTCAGTTCTGACACCATCAACAAGGACATAGCATCAGATCCCTCAGGTTGAGGACTCAGTCCCCAAGACTTTCCCCATTTCAAACCCAGTTGCAAATCTGGACCATTAGAACTACTGTCCAATTGGCTCCAAATTGAAGTTCCTTCAGCCTTCTTGTTAGTTTTGATTAATTTGCTCACAGAACTCAAATTAAGTAACTCAAAAGAACTCAGAGAAGTTTACCAGTTTATTATAAAGTATATTTTCAAGTATACAAGTAAGTAGCCTGAAGAGAGATATAGGCCAGGTTCTGTAAGAGTCCTGTGCAGGAGCTTTTGTCCCTATGGAGTTAGAGTGTACCACCCTCTTTGATGTGGATGAGTCTTATTCACCTTCCTGTGAGCTTACATGTGTTCAGCTGTCCAGAAGCTCTTAGCACCACATCCTTGTGAGTTTTTATAGAGACTTCATTCAGAGACATGATCAAAGCATGGACAGTCATGTAGAAATGTGATGGACTAAAAGGGTATAATCTAGTGATAATAGACTGAGTGGAGAAACCCAGCAAGGTCTGTCTGTCCAGATTCTTCAGCATTCTTTCCTCTTGAGTATGGGGCATGACCCCATCTAAAATGAGAGTTATATCTGTTATCAGACAAAGTAGGTTAGAGAATTCTTTTATGGACAACTCCAAAACAGAAAATTCTTCTTTGAGGAAGAAATGCAGTTTCTATGGCTTGCCTTATGGAGGAAATCATGAACCAGAAACCCTGATGAAATTAAAAAAAAAAAAAAAAAAAAAAAATATATATATATATATATATATATATATATATATATGTCTCATAATATCAGAGGAAGTTTAGAGAAACCTTTGAATCTTAAAGGCTAGTTGGCATGAGTTGAACTCTGTTCCATCATTCAATGGTGAAAAGTGTGTGCTTCCAAGAAGTGGACCTCTCCTTATGGTGTTCCCAGGAGATCTTGGAGCCTTTTTCCTCTGCCTCATCCTTAGTATAGAAACCCTCCCTTCCCATTTATCAGTTTCATTGTAGCCTGATGGCATCAAGCCCCTCCAACTTCCTCTTCTTGCTGTTCCATCAGTGCAGTGGCTGCTTCCATAACCTTCCAGAACTATTGAGTCTCCTCCAGGTGCTCAGAACAGAATGAACTCCTGGATGCCAGGCACACTGTTCCCTCATGAAGAGGTTGGGAACCTTCCAGGACCCCTTTCTTGTGAGAGAAGCACCTCCCATAGCATCAGTCAGGGTGGGGACCAAAAATGCTAGTTTTCATAAGCAGCAAAACTTTTGAACCAGAGGGAGCAGGTGAGGGGACCATATCCCCTCTCCTGTCCAAATTTGTATTGTCTCAGCTAGTGGCATCATAAGTTGCCAGTTGTTCAGTATTTTAAAATGGACCTTTCTCAGGGTTTTCACTCTGTACATTTAGAGTTACCTAGGGAGCACTAAAACTATTCCCTGTCTTGTTCAGACTAATTAGATCAAGGCAAGTTGGAAGGGATACCCCAAGGGCTTTGGTCAAACCCAGTCTCTTAAGTTCTTATACTATCAGTGGCCGAGGTGGGGCTAGAATCTGGGTATCATTCTCCATCATTCTTCTAGGCCATCCTGAGGCTTCAGCTTGTAGTCTAACCTGGGATAATGGTCTAGGCAGTTGTACTCCTTTGAGGTTTGTGATTCCCAATTCAGCAAAGACACAATGAGCGTGAGTGGTCCCGAGGACTTTATAAACTATGAAGCTAAAATGCACAAGGTGGCCCTGAAGTCCTTTGAGGAATCCTATGGAACTACTAAGGAAGAGTTAGAATGTAGTCCCTATTTGTAAATTTGAAACAGTATGATTTAAAAATAATAAACTCTTTAAGTACAAAAGATAGGAATAGCATAAACATGTTAGATGTTTGAGTCTGTAGGAAAATTGATCTTGAATGCTTACCTTCTATACAGGTCCAGTGTGACCACTAGAAAGTTTGCAGAACATCCTGCATCAATTCTTAGCTCAGTGAACCTGGCTCTGAGGGCACAGTCCCTGGGTTGGAGTCCTGCTCTGTGCCTCAGTTTCCTCTTCTGTAAGAAGTGATGGAATCACCTCCTAAGGTTGTTTAAACAATAAACCTTAGAGTAATGCCTGGAATTTATTACCATGCTCTGTGTGTGAGCTGTATATGCCCTGAACAGTCTCCAGATGAGTAGCTGCTGGACTCACTGGTAATGAGATGAACTCAGAAACTGAGAGGTCAGGCAAGGAGCCCAGATCACATAGGAGTTAGTAGTGGAGAAGCTGAACTGCACCTGAATTATAAGAAGCAATGGAGCATCGAATGTAGAAACTTACAACCAAGAAGTGAGGACTCAGGCACCATGGCGGAGGTTTGAGGCCCAGGAAAACTACAGCAAATTCCACCCCCACTGCTCAGTAAGAACGAGGTGGGATAAGGAGCCACAGAGTGAGTGTGTGTGACTGGGTCAGGGACCATGTAATGAAGTTGTCATGGGCCGTATAGTGTGTGTGACTGGTCAGGAACCGTGCTGATAGCATATTGTGTCAGGGGGCCATGCAATGAGCATATGTGACTGGGTCATGATCTGTGTGGGAGATATCACAGGGCCATGAGGTGAGTATGACCAACTAGATTAGAGACTGAGTGCAACATGTCCTGAGTTGCATGCATGCTTTCCCAGAGCTGGATTTGCTCCCATTCCTCTTATTAGCTGTCCTTCCCTGCTTCTTTTGGACAGTTTCTTCTTCTCTTAGGGGAGACTGAGGCTCAGAACAGCAATCACAGACTGCCTTTGAATGTGGTTCTTCATGCCCCCATGGAGCATGTTATGCATGATGAAGAAAGGAGAAGGATGCCACTTCAGAAGCCCCCTAGATTAGCTGAGCATCCAGTGGAAAGTGGTGCAAACAGGGCGGTGTCCACCCTGAATTTTTTTAATTAGGTGCAATTTATTTCTTTGAGTTTCATTTTTAAACCAATTTTGAAAAAAACTGGGAAAGCTAATTTAGGGCACAGTACCTAGTTTCACTTCTCAGAAATTCCCCAGGTTTCCAAAGTAACAGAGTTAACAGTCACTCTTACAGTTCCAAGAACCTCAGCAGACTCAGGGCAGGATAGCGAGATTCACCACCAGATAATTGTGTGCACACAGAACTTATTAATTTGTGCCAGGTTGTACTGTGGACCATATTTCCCTTGGAAAAGAGGGTTGCATTCCGATATGAGATGCCTTGACTACACATTTTCCATCACCCACGAATCAGGGTGAGATTCTGTAGATTTTTCTCCTGTATCCTGTGTGGGCCCTGTTGAGATAAGGAAGGATTGGGCACCCCAAGGTCGTCTAGTAGGAAGGTTCATAGGGAGAAATTTGCCAGCTGGACTTAATGAAGGATCATAGGTCAGGATGCCAAGTTAGAGATGAGAGTATATTGCAAAATGCCAGCTTGGAGTGTTAGGAATGGAAACTTCCAGACCGTGAGTCCCAGGGGTTCATTGCCATTTTTGGCAGGATACTGCTTGTTGGAAACAGATTGACTTGTAGGCATGATTACACACTGTTGCCTTAGGGTTTGTATTCTATGCTAGTCATCTCTTCCTTGCTCATATTAAGATGGGAACAGGTGGTGTCTTATTCCCATTAACTCTTTTTTTGTTTTTTTGCTACTGAGGATTGAACTCAGGGGCACTCAACTACTGAACCACATCCCAAACCCTATTTTGTATTTTATTTAGAGATAGGGTGTCACTGAGTTGCTTAGCACCTCCCTGTTGCTGAGGCTGGCTTTGAACTCATGATCCTCCT